TACTGGGGATTGAACTCGGGTCCTTGGGCTTGCAAGGCAGGCCACCGAACCACTGAGCTAAATCCCCAGCCCCTAAATCTTGAATTAAAAAATGTTTTGATTTTGTGATTTGGGACACCAACCTGCTATGGCAATAACTAGTTTTAGGAACACATGTACAGATATGAGATGTGACGGCCCTAACCCCGCTTAAATCACTTCATGATCTTTAAAATGTGTCTGCCAGTTTAGCTGAAACCATGAATCCAAATACTACAGGAAGTTGTAGAATTTGCTAAATGTATATGTTATTTACTTTATAATTCAAGTTGGCCTGGAGACTATCTCATTTGGAAAATTACACCATTTCGAAAAACAAGCATAACTGAGGCATAAAGTAGGTTTTTCTTATGAAAGTCAGAGTGAATAGAAGTAGAACTAAAGCTTTGTAACAATATTAATTCATGAGTAATGGATATGGTTACAAAATGAGTGATGGAAATCTATGAAAGATAGTTTCTAATAATTTTCTAACAATGAGAAAATAATTCAGTGAATGTAATAAATCTTTTATTATAAACATCAAGGAATATGAATTCTAATTTCATTCATATAAATAACTTCTCTCCACCTGTGATGTATATAGTATTTCACAAAGAACTAACATATTAACTATTAAAAATGCCACTATATCATCAACATACCCAGAAAAGCCAAATATAACGCAAAACAGTGAGAAGATGCAATTGTAAATAGGAACCAAAATGTATAACTGATAATGTTAAAGAGGAAAAAATTTCAAAAGGAAAGGCGGACTAGAGAGGGAAAAGGAAAAAGAAAGAAAGGAAAAAGCAAAAAGTGAGAAAAGAGGAAAAAATGGAAACAAAGTTTTTACAAATAAGGAGGGGAAGAGGGGTTGAAGGGAGGGAGGGTATGGGGAAAAAAGGGGGAATCAAGATATATCATGTACAGGCACAAACTCCCTGCTATGAAGTGATCATTATGTAAATCTAAATTGTACCCATAAAATTTTTAAAAATATTTAATCCATATACGTAATGTACAAAATCATAAATTGAAATATTCTGGGCATTGTAGTTTTTGTTCATTTTTGCAATGGGTGAGCAAAAGGTAGTTTAAGACTTCAAAGATATGTGTACGTATATGTATAGGTACATGCATATTTTTATACTAAAAAGGCCAGACAATAGAAGCAGTAAGGGATTGCTTAGTATAACACATTGCAACAACCACTAGGTGTAAGAATGAGACCAACAACTTCACTTTCAGTGGCTTACAGGCAAAATTTGTTTCTCCCTTACACATGGCCACTCTCAGGGCTCATGGTCGGATGTACATCGGGGAAGCATTTCCTCTTCCACCACTCCAAATTCAAGCAAGGGTCTGGACATCTGTACCTGTGGCCTCTAGCTCTAAGTCCTCTGCAGTCCTATGGCAAATGAAGAATACAAGAGAAAGGTGGAAGACTTTGAAGAATAAGCACGGAAATTGTACAGGTCAAGCGTGAGCTCATTCTTGTGGCACAGCATCCTGGAAATGTGGTCAGTCTGTCCGTGTGCCCATGAGCAGGGCTTAATGTGGGGAAACACTGAGCAGATCTTGCCACCGACAGTGATTCCAGATTTTTTCCCACAAGGGCTAAGTAAAAATCACATTCCCCATGTTAATATCTACCAAAATTCTAATGTAAGGTGTACATACATTCAGGAGAAACAAAAGGGGCATCTGTGTAATGGCCAATTTGCAAATACTTAGGGGCAAGTATGAAGGAGTAGGGTGACGGTGACATATTTTTATTGTTAATGGTGTCAGAACTGTGTTTTAATTGGTTTTTAATATATGATGATATATGTTTTGGTTTTTGCATCATCAGCATTGCTGCAGTTCATTTTTTCATCTGTGTGCTGCTAAATTCTATACTGTATACCTAAAAAGTACCAATAAACTCAATTAAAAAAAGAAATAGAAAATCAGGTAAATGCAGTAGAGCACAAACTCAGTGTCACCCTAAAAATGACAAGATATCATGCAAGTTGCATCCAACATCTTCTACATGATTAAAGAGAAAAGTCACCTCAGGTTTATAAGAATAAAGGAAAAACTTGGATGACTCAAAATATACACAAAATTTATTTAATGAATCATAGCAGAAAACTTTCCAAATCCAGGGAAAGAATTTAATAATCAAGCACAAGAAGTATATAGAAAGCCAAGTAGCCATGACAGAAGGGAAACTCTTTAGAACAAATCATAATAAAAATTCCAAATATTCAACAAAAGGAGAGAATACCAAAAACTTTCAGAGAAAAACAGCAAGTTACCTGTGAAGGCATACTTATTGAATATCTGGATTTCATAGCACACATCTTAATGGCCAGCAGTTCTTGGATCAAGTTTTTTCAACCCTAAGAAAACATAACTGACAACCCAAATTTTAATATCCTGAAAAATTAGCCTTCAACATTGATAGAGAAGTAAAGTTTCCACAACAAAGAAATCCAAAAGAAGTACATGATCAGTAAACCAGCCAAACAGAAAATAATTAAGGGAATCCTAGACCAAGACAGGAAGGCCACCAGAACCAATGAACCTGAAAGAAAGTATGTATTCAATAGGAAAGTAGTTAAACAAAATAATTTTTAAAACCAGAAGATTTAGCCCTGCAAAGATAATGCAGTGACAGGATTCAATAAATGCCACACAGCAACAGTGCCTAATTTCAGGGCTCTCAACTCTTCAATCAAGTGTAATAGATTGGCAGATTAGATCAAATCAAAGTGCAACCATATATTGCCTACAGGAGGCACACCTCATCCAAAAGGAAGTACATAGGAAGTGCAAGGATGGAAAACTATATTCCATTCAACTGGAATCTAAAAACAAGTCATAGTAGCTTTCTTATCTTTAGACACAGCAGACTTCAACCCAAAAGTGAACAAAAGAGACAAAAATGGCCAACACATACTGGTAAGGGAAATGATTCAACAAGAAGACATAACAATTCTAGATATCTGTGTAAGGCATGTTGGTGCATCCAACTTCATGAATTAAAACTATTCAGGCTAAAAAGAGAAATAGACAATAATACAGTCAGAAGGGAAGGCTTCAATATCTCACTCACAATTTGGTCAACTACACTTGATCTTAGCCAAAAGGCCGAGAAGCGATACAATTTGGTCAACTAAAAAAAAAAAAGCAAAGAAGAAACATCAGAGTTAAAACAGACCATTAAACAAATAGATTTAGCAGAAAATTACAGGATGTTTCATTCAACAACTTTTTCCAAAATGGACTACAGCTTAGGCCAAAAAGCATCCTTTAATATATGCAAAAGAATTGAAACAATCCCCTACACATCAGACCATAATGGAATCAATGTAAAAACCAATATCAAAAGAAGCCACAGATACCACACAAACACATATAGAATAAATAATACATTATTGAATAATCAATAGGTCACACAAGAAATCAGGAAAAAAATCACATGACTTAAGAATTAAATGAAACACAACATGCCAAATGACATAGTGAAATTAGTTCTAATAGAAATGTATATAGTCATGAATCACATATAAAAAGAAAATAGTGGTCTCAAATAAATAACCTAATAATGTACCTCAAATTCCTAGAAAAAAAATAAGAAAAATCCAAATGCAGAAGGATCAGATTGGAAATCAATTAGATTAAGACTAAGAAAAATACAAAGGGTCCATGAATAAAAGAGTTGGTTGTTGCAGAAAACTGGAGGGAGAGGACAAGGAGAGAAAGTAAAAATAATCAAGATGCAATAAGTGAACATTCCATTTTTCCCCTTGATGAATGCATTTCCTATGTATTACACACATATTCTAATAAAAAGGGAAGTATTTCTGTAACTATCATAATCACTCAGAAGAAAAAATAAGCCGTGTTTTCTTTAAAGTCATAGGATCTGTATGTTAAAGAGAACAGTGCACCAATAGAAGAAATCAATGAAGACAAGGAAAGAAGCAAATGAGGAAACATTCTATGTTCATAAAATGGAACACTGTGTAAAAAAGGTGCCAATTTTCTTCAAATTGATCTATAATTGTAACAATTATCATATTTTAGGAGTCTCACAGAGATAGATAAATCAATTCATATTTATGTGTTTCTATCTATCTATATAGATATCTGATACACACACTTTCATACACACACACACACACACACACACATATATATAAAGGCTAAGAAATCAGTATAGCAACCATGTTGAAAAAAGAAAAATATAGCTTTATATTTATGAACTATTTATAATCAGGAGTTATACTATGTCTTTTTAAGACTTCCCGTATGGGTGTAGGAATTGATACAGTATAGTGTTTGAGAAAGAATAAATACGTGGACCAATGGAATAGATTAGAGAGCTGATAAATAGCTCCACTCAGGTACAGTTTTTGACAAAGGTGTCAAGGCAATTCAATGAAGGGATAGTCTTTTCAACAAATGATGCGCGAACAATTGGATATTTACAGGCGTACATAAAGGAACCTAAAACTCATACATAAAATATCAAGTCAAATAGCTCAGAGGCCTCAATCTAAAAGGCAAAATAATCAAACTTTTAGAAGAAAACACAGGAGAGTATTTTCATGACCTAGGACTAGCCAGACTTCTTAGATAAGGCATCAGTGTTGTGATTTGTAAAAGGGAAGATTAATCCTAAAATTAAATGAATTCGACCTCATAAAAATTTAAAGCATCTCCACAAACACATCATTAAAAGAGTGAAATTGAAAGCTTGAATGGGGAAAAATTTTCTGGAATCACATATCTAACACATGCCATATCTAGAATATATAAAGAGCTTTCAAGCGACCTACAAGAAAATGAAGAATCCAATGAGAGAATGAGCAACAGACTGAAATAGACACTCCAGTGAAGATGCTGCATAGATTAGTAAATAAGCACATAAAACTCGGGTTTATTAGCTATTACAGGTGCAAATCAAAATCACTGTGAACTGTCATTACAGGCCTACTTGCAACCACAGCTAAAATAAAAATACTGATCATATCAAAAACTGATTAAGAGCCCCAGGTTCTCTCCTATGAATCTGGCTGGCATGTAAAATGATGAAGCCATTTTGGGAAAGAAGCTGGAAGTTTCCTACAAAATGAACCAGGCTCCTATGACATAACTCAGCAACAGCACTCTGGGGCATTTATCCCAGAGAAATGAAATCTTATGTTTACACAAAAACGTGAGCACAAATGATCACACAAATTTTGTTTGTCTTAATCTCAAACTAGAAACACTACAGTTGTCTTTTGGAGGTTGATGAATAAGCAAATCTTGTCCTAAACACACAATCAAATACTACCCAGCAATAAAAAGGGTTAAAAATCTATTAATGCATACAGTAAATCCTTGCTTCTGAAAGTTATTTTGTTGCTGAGGTCAGGTTGTTACCTGTGCAGTTCTACTCCAATACTATTCCTTCAAAGTGACAACATTGCAATGACAGAGAACAAACACATCAGTAATTTCCAAGGATGGAGTGGCTGACAATAGAGAAGTAACATAAGGAACTAACTTTCAATGACAGAAGCATTTTGCATATTGATTATAGTGATGATTGCACAAGGCATAATTAAAAAACAGTGAATATTTGAATTTTTTTTAAATTGCAGTAAAAGACACATTGCCATAAAATTTTTCAGGGTACTCTGCTTTGATCTGAACACAGTTATCTCTTTGTTCTTGCAACTTTCCAAAGCAGTTCCAGATGTCTCTTTCGTGAGTATCTGTAGTTGAGTTGTGTTGGCTGCTTCAATGTCCTGAGTCAACTCAAAACATGTACCTTCTATGGTCATTTCAAGTTTATGGAACACCCAGAAGTTGAATGATTCCAGCTTTGGTAAATAAAGTGGGTGAGACACACCATAATTCTTTTATGAGCCTGTCTTTCCATTGGATGGCCCTCACCAGCAGCCTTCACCGTATCTGCACAGGTGATCAGATCTTATAGAATGCTATACCCATGTGGCATATACAAACTTTCGATGAAATTAGGGATAAGTCTGTGCAATACTTGAGTTAATAGCAATACACTAATGTTAATTTTTAACTGCTGACAATCTATTATTATTTACAGATATGACCACGGAGAAGCTGGATAAAAGGTGTGGAAGACCTTTGCATCATTTGTTTGCCACTTTTGGTAAGTTTTAAAAATACTTCAAAACAAACCTTTTGCTTTTTGAGGTTATGATGGTAGCATTTCTATACCTACCTATCTATCTATCCTAAAGACCTGTCCATCTATCCATAGATCTTTTAAAGATGGTGAAAGGTGTAGAGTCTGGGGAGATCTGAAGTAGTGGATGTCAGTCTTTCCCAACAAATCCTAAACTCTACCCTCAGCCTCATTTCTTTCTGAAATGATCGCAGCATGAAGATGCCCAGAAAAATAGCCGACCGGGATTACAGGAGGGCAGGAGCCATGCTTACTTTTATCTGTCTTTAACTAGTACCTGTGCAAAGTAGGTACTCACTTGAATAATGGCGGAATGAATGAATGAATGAATGAGTTAACGTTTATGATTTCATTAGTAAGTGAGGCAAAATAAGCATAACCAAGCGGGTGAGTCCTTTATTTGCCAGTTTCCAAAGCTGAAAGACCTAGGAAGACATGGCATTTTTTCTCCTCTTCATTTGTCTCAGAAGAGCCAATATCTGGTCCAGGACTAAAGATGGCTGCTAGGACACTTTTGGATAAAATGTACTGAAGTGTTATCACAGTTAAAAAGCTTTAGATGTTTTTAAATTAAAAACTAAATACTTTCTTTATTTGTTTTCTTTTTTCACTGTTCTGGTGCTAGGAGTTGAACTCAGGTCTTGGAGCACATTCATCATGCACTCTACCACTGATCCACAATCTTAGCTCTATTTAAATGCTTTTTATAAAGTAAAAACCTTTTAGTGAAAGGGATACTTTTGTATGTTTTCAACTTTACATCTTTTTAAAATTTTCAGTTTATTAAAAAATGCCAGTTAGGTAATTGTTGTTGTAAGAAGGAGGCCACAATTCTAAAATCTAATCACCAAAGCTTCCTTTTTTTTTTTTGGAACCTCTGCAGAGTTTAAAAGGTAATTTAACCTCTAACATCCCTTCAATCACCTACAGATTCTAATTAACTAATTGGAAATATTAAGAGCATTTTAAAATAATTGAAGTTGTAGATATTCTGCTGTTAGTGTACTGCATTTTTAATATATTTTCACTGCAAGTTATATTAATGGATAAAGAGCCAATTCCAGAAAGGCAGAGTTTGGAAGAAATCATGCTCTCTTTTTTATTAGAAATCAATCTGGGATTCCTAGAGCTCTAGGTAAAATAAGAGTGAACAAGTCTTAACAAGGGTAAAGAAACAGGTGGAAAAAGGAAACCATAAGTAAGGACATGGGCTCTGACAGCTCTAGGCTGGCCAGTTTTGAGGTGTACTTGAAGGGCAGAGAGGGACAGGAGGACTGCCTGACACCCACCCGGCAGGGAGTAGCTGGGCCTTATCCTCTTTGCTCTCGGTCACCACCTCTGCCCTGTGCACCAGTTGTTCTGAAACTTCTCTGTTCAAGACAGACTTAAAAATTCAAAAATACTGACCACATTTCCACCCCATTTGTCATCTTAAGATTCTTTAGTAGAGGATCTGACCACTCCTTTCATAGTAGCGTAATTTGAGAATATCAGGTACACAAAATCTTGCAGATAGCAAACACAAATTGGGTGTAAATTCAAGAGAAAGCTTAACCAGGGAGATTTGTCCAACAAGTGTCCTCAAAGTAGTGGCCCATGACTCCTTGTAGCAGAATTATTTACGTGCTTTGCACAAAGAAAGAATTCTGGACTTCAACCCAGAGCTATGTAGGTAGAATCTAGGGGAGTGGCACAAAGTTCTAACACATAACTAGAATAATTCCTCTGCACATTAACATTCTGATTAAGGCAATTAATTTCTCCCTATTTCAGAGATAGGATTCAGTCAATATGACTATGACTTTATGTTCGAACAGCCAGCAAATATAAGTACAGGTATCAATCGTTGCTAGGGAATCTGATAACTCTTTGAATTATATAGAAAGGATCATTACTTCTGGGCTATTTATTCTGTACTCTTCTAGATTTCACACAGTCTCAT